AGGGTTCCTTGCAGCGGGCCCGATTTTAGGCAGAGGGCTTAAATAGCTTATTTATTATTTTGTATAATCTGGCGTGCATTATGTGCTCCTCCTGCACGTGTCGTGTTTCATGGTCTGCAGTTTCTAACGTCATGTGGGTTTCAAAACCTGTGTTTCTCTGGTAATGTACTAGCAGCAGGTAAGCTCAAGATACCATCCATCAGGAGCTAATTTTTTATCCAGATACTCCAGTGACTGATGAACCTGTCTTTTGTATGAATGTTGAGCACAGTAGAAAGCCATATGCCACTGGCACTGGTTCCTCTGCATTCTTTACAGTTGCTAGAGAGTGGGCTTCCGAGGGGGAACCAGCCCGACGCCATTTGTGTCCTCCTGCCTGTATTTAAGCGTGAGCACCTTTAAAATGGCCCTGTTTTCTGTCGACAAAAGAGGGTAGGATCTGTCTTAAAGGAAACCTGACTCCCATAATAATTTTCTTTATCAGAAATACGACTGCACACTCCTAATAGGGAACCTTGTTTTGTTCCTCCCCGTCTGTTGCCAACAGACCTCAGCCCATTAGAAGGGCCTCCCTTGTGTGGGAAGACCACAGCTGTTACTGTAAATCTCATCCAGTCACTGTATCACCCCCATTTTGTGGCTCTGAAGGATGAAATTGAGAAATGGAATACTGTGCAGTCACCCTTCACATCTCCAATTTTAGGCCTCTGCCATCATTTTCATGCTTTTATTCCAAATCAAATAACATTAGCGAGCTACACCACCTTCTGATGAGTATCTGGTCCCAAGTGCAGCTTTCAAACCTCTACTTTTGGGGTCTCTTATGTTTGGCAGCAGTCTTCCCCCTTCCCTGCCATCTTTCTTTCCCCACTTTCTGTGGGCTTTCTTTGCTGTTTGCATGATACATGTTGCCAAATGTGTGCCAGCCATGGTGTTTTCTGAGGCGCATGTGCAGGAGAAGGTTCTGTATCTTTTAATCTTTGCAGAAGGAGTGAAGAGGACTTGGTAGAAGGAGCTTGAGGGCTTTAATCAGAAACAAGATGTGGCTTAAATCATTAGCACAACAAAGCGTACTATAAGCTTCAAGATAAAAGTCTCTGGGGAAAGAGTCCTCTGAAAATAAATGGAACTTGATAGATTTCCATATCATTTATAACTTCCCTTAATTACACTTGGAAGACTTGCCAGTAAAACTGGAAAATTGGCAGCCTCTATCCATTAGAGTCATTTTGCCGACCATGGCAAGCAGCTGGCTTTACTGGATTTTATTTCCCATCACTCACAATTAATCATCAGCTGGAGATGTCTGAAACTCTTCAGCACGGAGCAATGCCGGGTGACATTCGGGCCCCCTAAACATGAGAAAATCTGCTGAGTAAATGGGCCGCGTTCTCTCTTAAGCTTACTCATTTGGGGGCGAGGCTGGCTCCTGCTTAATGAGTGCCGCTCTGATAATCGGATGCAAATGTGAACCTTGACCCCGTGTCAGAGGAGAGGACGCAATAAGCCGGATGAAAGATACAGGATTCAGGCCTCCAAACTTTGCACCAATTAGACAGGGAGCAGAGAAGGACATCAGGCCCAGTAGCCTCATCAAAAAGACTTGTGAGGCTTGTGACCATTTAGTAAGCCCGACACTGGAGACATCTGTCACAACCATGAAGTCCTTAGCAGATGATTCACAAAAGTGTTAGAGAAGTGTGCACACACATGTGGCAGGGGCGGGCCCCGCCAGCACGGAGGGCTGCTCCATGCACCCGATTAATGCCTGGCTTCCCAGACACCCAGGCAGGCAGAAGGTGTTGCCTTGGCAGGGCCCCTGCCCAGCTCTACGCCCCTGGGTGTGGCATGTCCTGTAAGGCACGGGCAGCCAGGCTTCCACAGCCAGAGAGAGCAGGTCTCACCGGAGCCCCTGGAGCACACCCCTCCGTGCGTTCACTTCATTCTCAGCACACAGGCTGTGTTAAACGTATTTGTCTCCTTGACTTGATTTTTTCAGGGATGACTATGTTAGAATTAGATCGAGCTTGTGTATACAGGTGTGTGTTTGTGTACATGCACGTGTTGGACAAAACGTAGCTCGCTCTTTGTAGGCTATCAAAGGACATTTGGTACAAGCTTCCCTTTGGGGTTGAATGAAAGAAAACTCTACGAAAGGACTACTTAAAGTGAGCAGAGGAGAAATGCATGTGAGGTTCCCCTTTCTGGCTGAGTGCAAGCAGACCAGCAGACACGGTGGGACAAGTGAGAGGGTGGGGACCAGGAGGGAGAAGGCAGGTGCGGCCGTGAGGTCTGCTCCCGTGACTTGGTGCTGTGCTGGGGCTCAGGCAGAAGCTGGGGTCCCTTTGGATCAGGGTGTACTTTCTTTAATGTCCTTTTAGTCACATTGCCAGAGGAAGAGACTGTGTTACCTTTGGAACCTCCTACTTCTGCGTGTCTCCAGCTAACCCACAGGTTTCATTTGTCTGGTTAATGACCGGGACCTAGCACTGTAGACTGGTGGTTCAGCTCCTTGCAAGTCACCCATGTTACAAGCCCTAGAGCCAGACAGGGAGTATGGTCAGGGACAGCCAAGAGCTTGTTGTTATCCTTCCTTAGTTCCTAGGCTGTAGCAAGACTTGGAGGGGCTGTGGCCTGGCGCAGCTGTCTGTTAGCGTCTTTGTTAGGCATCACTGTCAGCTGGCCTTGGCATGACCACAGGCAATCTGCAGGCTTGCTCTCTTCTTCATATTTGCAGAAGACCCATGTGAGATGCAGGGGGGCCCTGTCTGGCCAGCAAGTCTGAGCAGTAGGAGGAAGTGGGTAGAAATTAGCTGGCACAACTGCCGGCAGAGGGCCAGGCCATGCCACCCACAAGAAACTGATGGTTAGGGTAAGGGTGCGAAGACTGTGCCCTCAGGAGCCCACAGCGGAAGACAGTCCGGGTGGGCTGAGGGAGGCCAGCGCACAGGTACCCATGCACACGTATGCGTGTACACAGTGGGGGCTCATCCATCTGTGAAGGGAACAGTTCCCAGAAATGGGGAACTGAATCCTGTTTTGGATAGAATTTCCATCACATCCACTCCCCGAAGGGCCATCCTGCCCTCTTTTTGTCTGGTGCCCAGTGCATGGGTGAGGGTAATTTGAGGACAGCAGCTGGACACTTGGCTTTGTCTAGGAAGCCACAGCCTGGGCCCACGTGACCCTCCTGCACTGAGCACAGTGGCAGGGACCACTTTGGAGGGTCTGGCCTTCTTCTTGGTCCTCCCCTTCCTCTGCAGAGAGAAAAAAGGTAAAAAATGAGGACATGGAGCACTTGTCCCAACACCTCTGGCTGGGGCACTTGGGATGCCTTGGCACTGCCCCTGCCAGTGCCTTACCTTGTGAAGAGCAGCCTGCCAAGGTTGCCCTGTCCGTGGAATGCAGAAGCCAGGTGACAAGAATCAAAAGTGGCAGTGAGCACAGTGCCTGGGAGCCCCACTCGCCAGCCCAGTGCCTCCTCTGTGCCAGCTCTGAAGCTTTGGCATCCCCTGTCTTCCTGTATTTCTGTGCCAGGAAAAAGCAGCCCACCACCTGAACAGCAGAGGAAAAGAATGCACAGGGCTCAGGCACTGTGCGCTGCCAGAAAGACAGCTTGGCCACAGGGTGGGTGGGTGGGGACTCGGAGATCACTTGGGGACTGCAGGAAGAACCTTCTCCATGCCCTTCTGTGGCACTGGATGGGCACAGCCCCGGGGTGCGACTGTCCACAAGGCCAGTGCAATATGACCCCACACCCCACAGGGCCTCGTCCTGCAGTCCCAGGGACTGGGAGGCCCATTTCCACAAAGCTTAGGGAAATCTGGCCCAGCTCATGGATACTTACCCATTGAGGCCAGAGAAAAGTGAATAAATAAGAGTAGCTTTTAGTCACAGCTGATTCCTGGACAGCCATCTCCAGTTTAATGCTGGGAGGAGAGAGTTTTATACCCAGCTCAGCCTGGATTCTCTCAGAATAAAAGGTAAACATCAGGACACACAGCTTGGTGCGAGTGCCTGTTGGTGCTGCTGTCTCTTGGCAAGGAAGGCCTGGGCAGAACTCCGAAAGTCATTCCCAGCAGGGAAAGGTGCTTCTCGGGAGTGTGCCTTGCAGAGGCAGGGACAGTGGTCCTCATGGCCCTGCACTGAGCTGTCTTCCCAGCTCCCCAAGACAATAATCAGAGATGTGACTTATTTTATAACTGTTTTACTGAGATACAGTGCAGTTCACCTCTTTGAAATGCACAATTCAGTGACTTTTGTCTATGCAGAGACTTGTGCAGTGACCATCATGCAATATACATACACACACACACACACACACACATTTTTTTTGAGGTAGGGTCTCACTATGCAGTTCAGCCTTGAACTCATTGCATAGCTGGGGCTGACCTTGAATTGGCAGTGATCCTCTTGCCTCAGCCTCCTAAGTGCTAGGAATCCAGGTGTGCGCCACCATGCTTGGCATTCACCACAATTTTAGAACAATTTTAGCATCTAAGAGGAAACCCTGTGGCCGTCAGCAGTGATTCCTTTATGCCCAATCCTAGGCAGCTGTCAAGTCTTTCTGTCTGTAGAGAGGTGCTGTTCTGGACACAGATATTCAGGACATTCCAGTCTCACCTCACCTGTTTCAGGTTCAGGGGCACCATGGAAACCCTCCAAGTGGCACTCCTGTCCTCTAGTATAGGGCTTTTTTCTGATGAGGGTTCTGTAATGGAAGGAATGGCCTTTCATTGTCTCTTAAAGATGAACTCAAGGGCCAGAGATTTAGCTTAGTGGTTCCGTCACCTACCTCGCAAGCATAGGGACCCGAGTTCGATCCCAGAGCCAAAAAAAGATGAACTCAGAACAAGAAGGCCCAGAGGCTGTTGCTGCTGTTTCAATGAATGTTTCTGCACTTTGGACAAAGAATTCCTTAATGATTTCATCCTTGGGTTTTACTGGAAAATTAGAATAACTTTCAACTTTTGTAAATTCATTTTTAATTCATTTTCCAGGTAGCAGAAGGTCAGGAACTGTGTGTGATTGAAGCCATGAAAATGCAGAACAGTATGACAGCCGGGAAGAATGGCAAGGTATGTCCCCAAGTCCCCCAGCCCACGCCACTGCTGTGACAGAAGCAGAGCTTCTGACTCTGAGTCCCGCAGGGCTTGGCCTGGAAGTGACTGGGGAGGTGACCCTGCTGCCTCTCCTTTCCCAGAGCGCTTCCTCCCGCATCGATGCACCCTTGCCTCAGAGAGCTGGCCTTCCCGAGAGGAGCCTCTCTGCTCACAGAGTCGAGAACAATCGTTCTTCACCTTAATGTCTTTCAGATTAAGGGGTCTTTAATTTTTAATGTTTACATCTGTCTTCCAGGCAGTTAGTTATCTGAGACTTAGGTGACACAGCAGGAAACGGTTTTACAGATTGCAAAAATTAATGTAACTCTTCAAGATAATTTCTCCACAAGAGAACAATTCAATTGTAGATCAAGAGGAGCTGACACCCCTGGTACACATGTGGGGCTTAATGACTCAGGGAGAAAAAGAGGAGAAAGATGTGTTAGTGAAGAGTGAAACTTTTTGAATGTATTTTTTTTCTGGAGGAGGAACGGAAAACCCTGTGAGGCGTCACTTCAGAGACACCCTTAGTGGGCAGCAGCCCTCTCCTGAAGGACATCTGGGGGAGCATGACCGGTGGTGTGAGGACAGTAGCCAAGGCTGGCCGGGTCCTGAGATGTGGACTCACCCTGGGGACACGGGTGCAGAGAGAGATGTTAGCTTACTTCAGGAAAGATGCCTCTATCACCTGCCATACCAGAAGGCTGTGAGACCGGTTCTCGGGAAGGCCCAGGGCAGGAAAACAGGTCCCTGTGCACATGGGACACCCAGGCTGGCCACTGGTGAGGTGGTGGTGCCATGCTGGTGGGGTTGGCACAGTTTCTGGAGTGTTCAGGAATCCTTCCTAAATTTGACTTTTTAAAATGGACAAGAGAATGCAGGTTCCCACTCATGTGAAAATCACTTTTTTGTTCACATTACTTATGTCAGTGTCATGGGATGTCCGTTGCATGCTATGTAGTTGGCCTGTTTGTGTGGGGCCAAGAGCAATAAGGACCCTAGCACTGGTTCTCCAAGCAGCGGGAGCTGCACCCCCCACCCCCACCCCGGGTGCCCTGTCTTTGTGGGCCGCTCCCACAGCAGCTCACAGCTGCCCCTTGGGTGTTACCGAGTGCGGCTGGCAGATCCCACTTTACGCTGTTCCTTTGGCCTAAGCCCTCGAGCCGAGCTGGAGTCTTTCCTCTCCATTCCATTCCGCTCCTCATCCCCAGGCCTCGAGCCAGTGCCACGAAGGCACAGCCAGAATGGCCTGGCTTAGTCTAAGGCTGACGGTTCTTGTCTGGGAACTTCATTTTTCCTCCCGGAGAAAAGGTTTATGATGGTACAGACCCTCTAGTTGTTGTACCATTATTAAAAACACATATCAGTTATATAACTGTCAAAGGCGTCAAGATCATAAAAAAGCAGTCATCTAGCCATGTAAGATGGGGCATCCCTGTAATCCCAGCTACTCAGAGGCTGAGGCAGGAATATACCAAGTTCAAGGTCAACATGAGCCTCTGAGAGACCCTGTCTCAAAAACAAAAAAAATTGACACCACCTGCCTCACAAGCAGAAGGACCGGAGTTTGATCCCTGGTACCAAAAAAAGCCCCCCAAAAATTGAAAAAATAAAGGGTCGAGGATGCCGCCCAGAGATACAGCACTTGTCTGTGAGGCTCAGTTTGGTCTCCAGCACTACCAAAGAAACAAGAATCAAAATGGCATCCACCGAGTGAGCCCCGTGAAGTGTTCACTGCACAGCTTAGTGTTAAGACTTTGGGCTCAAGTTTAAGAAAAAAGGGTCTGTGCAGTCCGCCTGCTATGGAGGGGCAGGGCCCAGGCCAGGCCAGCACCCGAGGCACAGTGACCTCACTGCTGGTCGCCTGTCAGCCACGTGGCCAGATAGTCTGGACCCCAAGGCAACCACCTTTGAGGAGGAGATGACAGTCTCTTATGTACACACTGCAACTCCGCCTGATATTTCTCAATCCGAATACAGATCTGGGCAAGCAAAACTTGATTGTATTTGGGAGCAATCACTAGAATGAGAAGGTACAGTTCTACATTCCCGGCCATACCGCCAAGGATCAGTACTTGTTTGGGACTGTTTACTTTTTAAAAATTATTATCATGAAACTATGTCATTAACTCTGAACATTTATACAAACGAAAACCATAGGAAGGGTGAGGAGCTGGCTGTTGAGTCAGCAGCATGACACATCAGGCTTTGGGATAGGGCCTGAGCCAGGTGTGGTGGCAGCATCTGTAATCCCAGCTGCTCAGGAGGCTGAGGCAGGATTGCAAGTTCAAGCCTGGTCTGTGCAACTTAGTGAGATGCTTCTCAGAATAAAATATTAAAAGGTGTGAGGATGCAGCCTAATGATCAAGCATGTACCTAATATCCACAACATCCTGGGTTCAATTCCCAGTACTGAAGAAAAAAAACAAAGAAAAAGTGGCCTGGACCCAAGTGCCCAGTAAAAGGGGCCAGCTGGCAAACTCTGGCTGAAATTCTCAAAGATGTCCTTCCTCGGCTGATGAGGACAGAGAGAGAGAAGAAAGGAGCGAGTCACAGCCTTCTGTTGGGACATCACTGGTCCTTGCAGTAGAGCGGCTGAGCCGAGCTGCAGGTACGGACATCTCCCTGATTTTCCAGCTAATGATGCTCACTCTCCCATTTTTTAAATTCCAATTTTTTAAAGGTGAAATCGGTGCATTGTAAAGCTGGGGACACAGTTGGAGAAGGCGATCTGCTGGTGGAACTGGAGTGAAGTATTTCCAGCCTCTCAATCAGCACTGGTTAAAGTAGCCATTTCCCTCCTCCCTGCCCTCTCCTCCACCTCCAGCCAGACCGCGCGCAGCCCATAATCCTGTGAGTGGCCCGCATCATAGTTATTCCATGAGAGTCAGACCCAACACTGCCAAAGAAATCACCAACGGGAATTTTATTGATATAAATACTTGTACATATGATTTGTACTTCTGCTGTGAGATTTCCTAGTGTCAAAATTAAATCAATAAAGCTAAGCATTTGTCTAAATATTAGTTTGCCCCCTTTTCTAAAGGTTTACACATTATACAAGTAAAATTAGTGTAAACTATGATAGAAACAGTAGACTTGGAGACAAACAAGAAGGAATCTCTTCATTGTAAGGTTGACAATGCACATCGATGAATTAAAGACCCTGGACTTTCTACAGTAAAGACATTCACTTAACCCATTCTCAACAAATTCTCAAATTTGTGTTGCACATATAAACCTGTGTTTATGAACAATATTGTTTGCTTTTTTTTTTTTTGGTACCGGGGATCAAACTCAGGCCCTTGCCCCTTGAAAGGCAGGCGCTGGAACCACTGAGCTAAATCCCAGCCCCTTAACAATACGTATTAATAAAATAGAATTATTTTTGTGAAATGTTGCTTTTTGAAATCAGAATTCAGTAAACATGAAACATGTTAATACCTTATATGTCAATTACATCATATACTTTAACAGACTTATACATATAACCTGCCTGAAATATATTTTATTTGAAAACAGACCAATAAACATTTAAAAATCTGTTAAAGTATATGAATGTTCATGTGCAAAAAAAGGATATTTCATAATTAACATTGAGTTGGCCCCCTTTTTTGGGAGACAATATGCACATAGGTGACAGACTGTCCCAGGTGACTATAAATACCAGCATTGCGATCCTTTTAAAACATATAAATTCACTTCTTTGCCTCTGAAGTTACTAAATCAGCATTGCTGTTTTATAATCTGATTACCCGCCTCTCTGGTAATTGAGGACTAGCTCTTGGGCTCCTTAGAGATGAGGTGGTTCTGCTGATTCCGGAAGTGCCTTCCTCTGTGGCTCCACACAGGTCACTACGGATGGCTGACTGCTCAGGTCATTCGGGGCCTGCCGCCTGAGCTGGAGTGGAGGACAGGGCACCGCCTGTCCCTTTCCTGTGGCTTCGGGCTGGGCCCTCAGGGCTGCCTCACCCATCGCCGTAGTGGGAGGAGCTGCCGCCAGATTGGCAGCTGATGCCCATCCTCGCTCCCCTTTTTCTGTTGTGTGAAGCAAGTTTCCAATTAAGAAAAAGAGGCTAAAAATAATGATGATGTTTTTGTGCCAGATGTAGTTAGTGATCAGAGTCTACCATTAAGTTGAAGAGTAAGAGAGCTTTCCTGATGGAGAACGAGGTTACTAAGGACCAGCAGCTGCATTTTCATGTGGTTCTGAAATTCCTGGAATCCATTTTGTCCTTTGCTGGTAAGGAGAAGCAGAGTCGTGCGCCGACTTGAATCTCTGCTGACAGATTATCAGATGGAGGTGGGTAGTAATTGGTACTTCGTGCCTTGCTAACATTATTTTAAGTGCTGTTTGTATTTGGAGGCTAAGCCTTCTGTCAGCCCTGAAGAACAAATTACTAACATGCTGGTTCTTCTCTGAAAGGCCTACCCCCAGGCACCGTGCCTCTGGAGGCAGTGATGGCCTGGGGCTGGGCTCTGGCGAGGAGTGGCTTCCCAGGAAGTCGGGTGCTCAGCTGTATCTCCCAGTAAGTGGGTGTTCGTGCCTTTGCTTGCTTAGAATGAAAAGAACCGTCAGAAAAGTATACTGAAATGAGGCCGCAGGTAGCGCCACACATGGGGGTTGCTCTCAGCACATCTAGTTTAATTTCAAATGGACATTGTGGTCTGAAACCATGAACAATGTGCTACCTACATACACTCTCTATAGGAGAGTATGTTTTTCTTGAGGAGTTTTTAATTATATTGAGTCATTAAAAAATCAGCTTTTATTAAATTTTTTCACGCTAGGTGCTACAGGCCAGAATAAGTACAGTCATCTGCAAACCCCAGTCATTATAGTCCCCGAGTATGCGATCTTGGGAGCAAACTGAAGCAAAAAGAAGAAAGAAAAGTGTATCATGTGAGTCCTTTAAATACCGTTTAGAGCAGTGAGTAATGGAAGCTGTTCTTATCCGATGCACCCAGGCCCAGAGGTGCCAGTTAAGCAGGAAGCCATGATACTGAATCAGTTGAAGGTGCAGTCTTGCTGCAGTGGAAGGTCAGCACCACGGAGCTCCCGTTTCTAGACTGAGTCTTGCCGCTGAGGGGCTGGTCTGCTCCTGCACCGAGTCAAGGTGACGAGGCTTCTGTAGGTCCCGTCCTTGCCGCCACCGCCAGCCCTTCTTACCTGTTTTCCCGGGGGTTGTAGCGCAGCCCGTGCGGTCCCTCTGAGTTGTAGCTGTCATGGTAGGGGAGGTGGACCCACTCTGGCGCATAGGTGGCCGTGCTGTACACGAAGCACTGCACGCTGTCCCGGGGGCCGCCCCCGCCCTCCCACTCGAGCACGGCCACCTGAACGGCCCTGCGCTGGTACATGTCAGGACAGCCCTCGAAGTCATCAAGGAAGCGCAGCATCTGCTCGTCCACTGTGTAGATCTCGCCTGCCACACGGCGGCCCCTGCCTGGGAGGTGGAGCAGCCAGGGGATGTTGTGCTCGCCGGCAATCACCAGCGGGTAGGGCTCTGCCGTGTGGCCGCGGCCCTGGAAGGCTGCCAAGCCATGCACCCTGTCCAGCAGGACCTGGTGGTTGGGCTGGCCTCGCTTCAGGGTGCCGTACACGAAGACCAGTGCCATCTGCCTGGGGCTGTGGGGAGAGACAGGAGCATGTCACCAGTGGGGCAGAGCTGCTGGACGAGGCCCTGTTGGAGGGGACACTGCCAGGCTCGCTGGGCTGGGGCTCCCCTCCCCTTCCCTTCTGCTGGCTGTAGACAAGTACAGAAGAGTGATAGTGTTTTACTCAAACTTGCTTTATGGACACAACTCAGAAATTCATACAATTTTCACACCATGAAATATTTTTTGATTTTTTTTTTCAGCCATTTAAAAATACACACGTCACCATGCATGGTGGAGCACAACTGCAATTCCAGTACTCTGGGAGGCTGAGGCAGGAGGATCACAAGTTCCAGCCCAGCCTGGGCAACTTAGTAATTTAGCAAGATTCAAAATAATAATAACAATAATAATAATAATAAATAATAATAATAATAGTAAAGGTTGGGCTGTAGCTCAGTGTGCAGGACCCAGGTTCAATCCTTACAAAAAAAAAAAAAAAAAAGAAGCCATTCTTAGCTAGTGGTCTGTTAGAAAACAGACACCAGGCCAGACTAACCTGTCGTTGCCAATCCTTGGTCTAAAGAAAGGGCAAATATTTGTGACTGTAAAAATCTTCCATGTATTTGAGGGAACTTGGCAGTGGATCTGCCTTCCACTTTGGGGCCTAAGCCCTATGACACCTCTCTGGTTTGGCAGAAGAAAGGGCACATCAGCCACCCCATGCCACCTGGCCAGACAGACCCTTCCCAGAAGTGCTACTTCCAGTGGCCAATCGACTGGTTCACAGAGCCCTCTGACCACAGGCCTTCCTGGCTCAGGCAGGAGCTGCTGCAGGGTTTCCTCAGCTGCCCCCTGCATTCAGATGGCCTCACTTGGGTCTCCCCAGGCTTCGGCCCCCACGCCAAGACCACCAGACTTCTCACACCTGATACCTCCCTCCCCTGACCATCCCAAGTGGAGCAGCTTCAGGCCAGGCCCCAGCAGGGACCTCCCAGCCACACACACCTGTGTGGTGAACAGCTGCTCCTGGGACCACCTCCCACCACCTGTGGGTCCAGGATCCTCAGCACCCTTGACAGGCACTCATTTCAAGAATATATTCGCTTGCACATGGGGACAGCCTGGCCTGGGCTGCCCCCACACAACTGCCATCTTCTCTGGAAGTTTTCAAAAGGATTTTGAAATTTGTACAGTAAACAGAGAAAAGTGAGGGACAGCAGTGAGCAAACAGGCATTTACAATAATCACCTGCAGTCCAGCTACCAGAGAGAAAGCTCTGCATTTCCATTCTGGGCCCGGCAGTCTGGCCCAGCAGAATTCTAACAGTGGCACCTGTCGCATTTCCTTTCTCAAGGTCTTAGAGGGTAATGATGCTTCATGATGACTCACTGTGACTCACAGCAGCAACCCTGGCTCCACGTGAAGGTAAATATCTACACTGGCCTGGGTCCGGGCCACAGGGACTGTTACATAATGACACAAGTGACTCAAACAAAAATGGAAAAGGAGTAGGGCCCCTCTTCACTGTGCTTCACTGCCCTCTGCCCAGGCCATGCAATGACAGCTGGTGGCAGGTGTGTGGGGGACAAACCTCAGAGAACTGGGATGTGGCTCAGTGAGTGCCTGTTGACACGTGCAGCCCAGGTTCCACCCCAGCACTGCAAAAGACAAAAACCAGGGAAACGCGTCCTAGAAAATCTGTAAACGGCTGTATAAGAAAAACAAAATGCCCTGCCCGTTCTGACTCCTCAGAGGCAACACTGTTAAGCTCCTCAGCTGTTAACAGTAGGCATCTCTTTCCATACTGTGACTTCCACTGCTACTTCTTGGTGTTTTAAATTATGTCTTGCCTCCATGCACCAAAGACAAGCATGCATGGTGGTTTAAAGCACAGACTTTACAACCAAACTGCCTGTTGAAATCCTGGCTCTAACACTTTGTACTGGGTGACTTTAGGCCAATCTCTGAACCTCTCTGTGCTGCAGCTCCACCAACTAGAAAGTGAGTGCAGTGACTGCAGCCACTGCTTGCCTCCAGGGCTGTGGCGAGGGCTGAGTGGCCGTGCATGCTTGCGATGTCCTGTCACCATCACAGTCAGCACTCGTCCTCCACCCGCTCCCCCACCTTCCGAGAGACCGCACCAGTGTGGGTCAAATCCATATTCATTTCAGCATTAGAACTATGTAAATGCTGCTCTCAGCGAAGACACATAGTGTACTGTGATTAAATTTCCTCCCTGTGGCACTTTCTTGGCGTTGAAGCTGCCTTGGGCTTGTTTTGCTTTGGTGTCTGCTCAGGTTGCCAGGGATGTCATCCAGTGCCACCTTTCCCAGTTTGGTCCCTCCGGTTCCGCTCGCTCTGGCTGGGTCCTCGAGGGCCCTTCCACTGCCCATGCTAGAGCCTGTCCCTTTCTTGGCTGAGTCCCTCGCTTTGCTGAAGCTTATCTCCCACTCAAGGTTAGTAACCTGGCCAGGTGCAGGATCCTACAAAGTGTTTTTCACTGTCTTCCAGCCTCCTAGGTTCTTGCTGAGAAGTCCAGGGCTGTCAGGCAGACTGCTTCGTGTGTGACTTGAGCTTCTCTCTCAGGAGGCCTGAGGTCTCATCTCATCCCAGAGATTCTGAAAGTTGTGATGATGAGGATGTGTGTTTTCTATTTTCATTCTTTTTTTGCTGGAATTTGGGCCTAAACACTTGTCTTGGATCATGGGAAATTTCTTCCCTCTTCTTCCTCCCTTCCTTCTGCATCTCCTGATATTCATGGCATGAGAGGGCAGGACAGCAGGTTGGCCAGCAGTTAGGGTCAGGCATGTGTCAGTACGGGGCATTTCCCTCCATCCCGTGTCCCTCACAGGTACCCGCAGCAGCACAGTCCACCGGCATCCTAGGGGCTTCTCAAAGCACAGGAACTGACTTCAGGTTCTGAGGTCACTGGGCTGCTAAGTCAAACACCACTCGATGTTTTCTAATTTTCATACTTCCGTTGCTCGCTGTGTTCTCCTGTCTTGGCAGGACTTTTGAGTGGCGTTTTAACCTGTTTTATGTTACTGTAATGGTAACTTTATGGAAAACAGGTTTATTTAGCACACAGTCTTGGAGGTTCAGGGCTCATGCCTGGACGGCCTTGCACGCACACCGTGGACAGAAACTGGGTGTTGTACCCTGTCCTGTTTTTTTCCCCTTTTATAAAGCCAGCAGGAATCAGTCATGGAGGCCACCCTTATTACCTTAAGTAACTGCTGGATATGACACCAAAGTCATAGACAACAGAATTAAAAATAATTCGGACTACAGTGAATTTTAAAACTTTTGCATACTAAGGAATATAATCTACAGTGAAAAAAACAACCTATGGAAAAGGAGAAAGTACATGCAAATCAAATACTGTATCTGATAGCAATTATTAACCGAGAATACATAAATTCCAAAAGCACAACAAAAACTCAATTATAATATTGGGCAAAGTCCTTAGTGCTCAAGGTCACTATCAGGGATGTGCAAGGCCCAACCACAGCGACATCCTGCCTCATCTACATGAGGATGACTACTTCCCAAAACAGCGACACCACGTAACACACGGTGGTGAGGATGTGCAGACACCGAGCCCTGTGCACTGCCGGTGGGAACACTGGTGCGGTAACTAGAAAACTGGGAGCTCTTCCTAAAAATAAACTTCAGTAAGTCAAGTGTGCTGGTCAGGTTTACTGTGAGCTTTTTATATATGGCCTTTACTGTGTTGAAGCAATTTCTTTCCGTCCCTATTTTGAGTGTTCTTACCATGAAACAGAGATGACTGTATGTTTTTTACTTTGTAGCCTAATGTGTCACAGTGATTTTTTTCTATGTCCCATCTTTGCATTCCAGGAATAAGCCTCACTTGATCATAATATGTTGCTTTAATGTATTGCTGAATTCTGTTTGCTGATATTCTGTTTAGGATATTTTTATCCATTTTATCCATCAATTCTGGGGACGATATTCACCCATTTTGTTGCAGGTAATTGTTCACAGTATTCCCTCAGAATCTTTTTTATTTCTATCAAATGGGTTCTAGTGTCCTCTCGTTTCAGATTTTACATATCCTCCCACATCCTGCCCCATTCCCACCCGTTAAAGATTCAATTTGTTACTCTTTCCAAACTGCAAATTCTTAGTGCTGCTGATGTTTAGATTTGGCTCTGAACTGTCCGCCAGCACAGGTGTGGTTGCCAGAAGATGGCATTGGGAGGGGTGGTGGACCTTGTTGGAGGGAGAGGTGTCAGGGGCACACCCAACTATTCTGCTTTGCTCCCAGCCCCTGCTCTGCCCTTTGTTCTCTCTCTCTCTGGTTCCTGCCACACTCCACCACTTGCTCTTGCCATGATGCTCTGACTCCACAAGACCAGAAGCCATGGAGCCAGCTGGCCATGAACTGCAGCCTCTGAAACTTGAGCCAGAATCAACCTTTCCCATTTGTTTTTTTTTTCCCTCAGGTATTTTGTCACAATGAAAGAAAGCTAACACAGTCTCTATTTTTCTGTTCTTTATCTTTGCTCTAATCTCTACTACTCATTTTCTTCTACTGGCTTTGGTTCTGAGTTCTGTGTCTCTCTGTACTCTCATTCCTTATCTGTCACATTTGGCCCATTTCTAAGGGCTGTTGTGAAGGTCACAGCCAGTAAGTAGGATACATGAAAAGCCCATTACAACAGCCGGGGTAACCTAACCTGTGCCTGTGATTCACTCTGGCCAAGACAGACTCAGGGCCCTGCCACGACACACCCAGCCCCTGGACCGCGCCAGGGAGGAGGCACTGCCACTGTGGCGGGCGCTGCTGTGTCTTCCCTCTCCCCTTCCCACCGTACTAGTTTTTTCCCTGGTGAAGTCCTGGATAAAATAGGAGAGTTTGGCATAGTAGGAAAGAGCTGTAGGTGAGCACAGCGAAACAAAGACTTCAGTCACTCTCCTTGGACAGAGAGTGGATGTCCCAGGTAGGCCAGAACACAGGCCCAGACAGTGTGGGCCCAAGCCCCACGTGGAACGTGAGGCAGG